CACACAGTTAAGCCCTTCCATAAAGCCAGGCATCTCTCCTCTCCTCCCGTGTCCCCTTTAGTCACTCTCTCATTCTCCCAGGGTTGGTTTTAGGGTTCCCAGGACCTTCGATGCTCCCCCAGTGTCTCCTGATTCCCCATGCACTCAATCCTTTCCTGTTCTCAGAGAACAGCTGACAGTTTTTACAACATTCTTGTACCCATTTAACCATTATCAAGCTTTTCCTCAATTGTCCCGGCTATACTAACCAATATATATCTTAAAAAATTTCTCACGAGACATTGCCTCATCTTGAAGTCATCCTTAGGGCTCTTTCTAAGCCATTCTTATGAAACCTCAAGTTCAATGAAACCTTCATATTGCAAGGCCTTAAGCATGACGCCAACCTCTCGCCGAGGCTGGGATGGTATTCCTGATGGAGGGGAGAGTGATTTCCAGCCCTGGAACATGGGCTCCTTTGTTGGTGGTATTCCGGCAGCGGCCCCCTTCACGACTGACTTCTCTAATTTGCTTGTGAAAACTAGCCTTTCCCAGGAACTGCTTCTCAGAGAAGGTGTCTACTAAAACTTGTAATATATTCTAATAATGCCGTCTTCACAAAATCTTCATTCTGATGCTTATTGGAGGAAGTTTTTCCATAGGGTTCAGTGATGGGGATTCCGGATCATCACTGGCAGCAGCAGGGCAAAGGGTTGGCTAGAGGAGGGGTATTCCTAAAGCCTCCGTCTTCATTAGTTGTTCATATCTCTTTTGGGGGAGAGGGGTGGGGAGGTTTGGAAAGTTACCTTTGGTCGATCTTCTGTGGCATCCCATGCCAGGACAAGGCTGAAAACCCCATCTTCCCTGCGGATTGCTGTCCTAAGCCTTTCCTGTATTGAATTCCAGAGCTAACACTGACCTTGAGTATTTGTCACAATTGTCCTACTTTTATGAAAATGTGAGCCCAAAATACCTGCCTTGAGACCGAAATTTGTGTTTTGAGATATTTAGATATAGACTATGCAGTGTCAGCCTTTTGTTCATGACTATCTCATTAGGAGAGGCTAGGTTGGGAATTGAAATTTACTCCAGTTCCCAACCTCATGTTTCTGCTCTCGGATGCGTATGAAATATGAGGTCTTGTTATACCACTTCAGAGCTGAAGAGAGCTTGTACCTCCTCCCGTTTATTCAATTACCAGGCCATATTCTGGAAATATTTTGACTTTACATAATCTTCTCTTATTGAAAACTTGTTATAATTTTTTGTATATCTTTTTGCAGCCTGCCACATATTGGAATGCCGCAACGGAATGGCCCAAGATGTCATAACTACCATAGGGCAGGCTTTTGAGCTCCGGTTTAAACAATATTTGAAAAATCCTTCTTTGAATACTTCCTGTGAAAGGTCAGCCAACAGTTCTATAATTATTTGACTTACTATATTTTGTTTCATTTTAAAATGAATAAGGCATTTTAAAATTGACTAATGGAATTAGTAAATTTTTTTTCTTACAAAATGGGCACAGTGTCAGTACAAACTACTAGTAACATTTTCCGTTTTTCTTCCATTCATATTTGTCCAGATATTTCTCCTTGGTTTCTAACAAAATGAAAGAAGAAACTAAACGCGAGAAGGGATCAGCCATGTTTCTCTGATGTTACACAGCACTAAGTAGCATCATAAAATAATAAACATCAACAGATTTCTCAGATTTATTTCAACCCCAAAAGCCCTAGCATATCAGTAAAAACAAAATACATTGAGAAAGAAGAGCAAAATAGTAAGAGTCAAGTGTCTATTGCAGGAATTCCTGTTGGGTTGTTGGTTTGCAGTGTAAATAGGTCAGCTCCAGCTAAATGGTGGCTGGGGTGACTTACACCGTGACCCAAGCAAGGGTCTGGTTGTTCTGTCTCAGGTACAGAAAGGCTGCAGTGAAAGCCCCGAATGCGTTCAGGCCGGTGGAATGCGAATGCGGTGAGGGCCCTGGCTCGCAGAATTCACACCTAAGAAACAAAACTCTTGGGCACTTTTAAATGCATCTCTCCCCCTAATTTGTCATTTTGGGTATCAACAAACACTTTGTTTGGAGCTCACCCTTTATGAGGTGGTTGAGGGCAGCAAAGGAGAGATGGTTACCAGAAGGTGCCGATGTTGAATTTCTCCCAGGGGAGCTCTTACAGCCGTAGTGCTGTCACTGTGTTGACATGTAAGGAGCCCAACAAAACTGTGTGTGTTGTCAGTGGAATCGGTTCAATCCACAAGGACTTGATTTATTCTTTTCCATAAGAAACTTTTACTAATTCCAATTTGGAAGGAAAGTACATGTGTTTTCTTGCCCTGTTTCATTTTTAAAAACAATGCATGCTTACATCAATCTACCCTCTTGCCACATATGGTTCTGATATTTATTTATGAATCCCACATACTCCTGCAGCCTTATGCAGACAAGGTAGCTGGCCAGAGCTTTTTAATTATTTTCCTCTTGGTTTACTAAACTGGGCCAGGCCCCCTGCCCAATATCTACATTTCCTTTGAGCAAAGCATTTGTGAAATGGTACAAAGCATGCTGGAGGTGCCCGGGAAAACTTTGTATTTTTATGTACCATTGGCAAAAAGGTCTTACATTCAGGGAGTTCATATATATATATGGGAGACACAAAAGCATCACCCTTGTCACTTTGGTTGGCTTATCCCACTTTAATTGTCCATGGAAATCTAAACAACTCAGCCATCTGGTTGCTTCCATCCAGATGTTTGACATCGTTTAAGCACATCTGTAAAATTACAACATGAATGCAGCGTTTTTCAGGATGATTTGCGTTGTTCTGACCCATCTGCATCCCCTACAGCATTTGAATTCCCGCCCAGCCTCTTGGGGATTCTTTTTTGCCTTACAGTGAGGCGGTCCATATTGACAGCCATGCGGACGAGAGAGACGATCATGAGTATTACAATGAAATACCAGGAAAGCAGCCACCCATGGGTGGTGTTTCAGACGTGCGGGTCAGAGTTCAAGCCACAGAACAGATGGCTTACTGCCCCATACGGTGTGAAAAGTTGTGCTATTTGGTAAGTAACGTTTTATTATGATTGGAACTAGCAAAGTGATTCTGTCCTTATCACTAGAGAGTTTAATTTGTGGGTTTCCAAATGCTAATTTAGAGAAAGTATCATCTTCCTCAGTACTGAGCCAGAGAGTGAATCATTGACAGGGCCTGGAGTAGATCATTTTTACTCCAATTCCCAACCTCGGCCTCAGCAGCTGACCTCACATCTCACTTCACTGGAACCCCAGGGCAGTCCAACACATTATCCTCAACTTCACCCTCTCCCGTCTCCAAGTCGTCCTACGTTCTCCTTGCCTCTCTTCCTTAGTTACCATCTCCACAGCTAGTCTTTCCCTTGGGCTCCTGATCCCACCCACCCATCCTACCAACTCTGTGCCCTCGTTCTGTCATCAACCTCTGTCTCGATCTGTATTCTCTCTCTGTCTACCAGTTCTTTCCCTTCTGTCTGCACATAAACTTGGGCTCCTCCAACCCAACTGATAATGTCCCACCTCCTCCTCTTTCTTTAACCCACAAACTTCTAGAAAAAAAAGAAAAACAACTATCTTTACCTATACTTTTAAGATCTGAACTCCACTTGACAACTTGAGAGAAATTACTTTTACAGTAGTCACCTTTTTTTTTTTAGTCACCAGTGGTTTAATTGCTAAATCTACTTCCTTCTCTAGTATTCTGAATTTGTCTCCAGCATTTGATACCTGTTGGCTGCTTCATATTTTCTTAGACCTCGTCTGTTAGCTTCTAAAACATTTCCATTGTGTGATACTGATCCCACATCTCTAGTTGCCGTTTTTCTTTCTTTTGTTTGGCTTTCCAAATTTTATTATGAATATTTTCAAACATACAGAAAAGTTGAAAGAATTATACGGCGAACACTCATAGACTCACCATCTAGATTCTACAATTAACATTTTATTATATTTGCTCTGTCATCCTGTGTAGCCATCTATTCTCCACCATCCATCCATGTTATTTTTGATGCACTTCCAAAGTAAGTTGCATCTTTTCTTTTTCTGTCTTGTATTCTTGCATCCCCTCCCCTGGGAAGCCAAGCCCCTGCCTCACCACCAGGGCGGCGCTCTCCAATGCACTGCCCTGGCCCGGTTTCTCCTGTGGCCTGACACCTATGTGTGTAGTCCTCCAGCCTCTTCTCCCAGCTCTTACCTCCCTCGGCTGTGATGCCACAGGCATGAAGTTGCTTGTTTATATCAAGACTGAACTGAGCGTTTTCTCCTGGACTCCAAACCAGAGACCTCTACTGATTTACTCATGTTACAGAATGGCATTGCCACTCTTTCAATAATCTACAGTTTTTTGTTTTCCTCACACATTGAGCCCTATAGAAACTCATCTTAGAGACCTAGGATTCTATGTCTTTTGAATATACCCAACCTTTTCCAGTCCTAGCGCATCTTTCTAAGTTCTGGTTCTCACCTGCCCGGATGATTCTGAAATCCCCTTTATCTCTAATTTCATGCCCCCAAACGCTCCCGCACGAAACAGCTGGGTTATCTTCCTAAAGCAATGACACCCCTTCTCAAAGGCATCCCTGGATCCCATCCCAATACTGAAGCGAGCACAAGATGTTTAAGGATGAAAGTGAGCCTGGCACCAGCCCCAGCGGAGTAGGGCCGCAGTCTGCCATTCACGGTTAGATAGAGGTTTGCCAAGTGGCCGATGTTTAGACAAGTGTCCTGGAAATCACACCTTCTCGCTGAGCCTTGGCCTGAGTCCTGGAATGTGACCTCCCAGCAGAAGCCGTGCCCTCAGGGTGCGCCTGGTGGTGGCAGCTGTGAGGACCCTCACCCCCGTCTCTGCAGCTCCCAACAACGCACTGTGGAAAGGAGTCTACACTCCTCACCCCAAGCCCCAGTTTCCTTTTTTCACCTGCCAGGCACTTCCTGTATCAGAAGGTGAAGTTGTCTGCTGTAGTCTGCTGGGAGTGTTATTCCTGCTTAGTTTATTTTGGGGAAGTTCAGGAACGGATGCTGTGATTGTAAATGTCTCACGATCTGTTGTCCCTGCAGCCTGGGAACTCGGACTGCAGCAGCGTCTATGAGAACTGTTTGGAGCAAAGCAGGGCAATGGGTAGGTACAGTCGCCCTTCCCCATCGGCCACGCTCCCTACTCCTTTATGTCACGTGGTCATGTGTGGACCTTGCTGTAACACTTGATGGGAAAGGCAGGTGCATATTCTGAACACATACTGCCTCGGCTCCAGGCCTCGAGTTCTGAGAGACCCAGGAGGCCGCAGGCGGGTCCCTGGGGAGGCTCGTGTTTCTCCTCTGCCGCACTGTCCCCCTCCCTCACGGGGGCTCTCACTGCTCTGACACAAAGGCTCGCTCTGGAAAGGTGCTTTCTCCGACTCCCACTTCAAAGGCCAGGCAGTCGGCGAATGTGAAAATGAGTGCTTGTCAAGTCCGCCAGGATTAAGAGAAAACCTTTATTTCTGCTTGGCAAAGGGAACAAAGAGCAATCTGAAATGTGAGTCCTGATCCCGGTCCCACCCACCCCAGCCTTGCCGGGGCGTTCAATGGCTGATGACTGCTTGTGGTTACTGACATAGGGCGCAGCTTTTCCACAGCACAGGTGCAGGGCATCCACTCTCAGATTGGAAACTATTTTCATAAAAACAAGGTATACTGACAGGTCGTCGTTTCATTCTTACAAATGGTTGAAAGTATCCATTCATGTACTCATTTGGGAAGGAAAGTTTTGCAGCTTTACAGGGGGAGATAACTGGATAGTGAAAATAGTACAGGGGAGGGTAGAGCTGGATGACCACACGTAGGGATGCTAAGGAAATTAGCAGGAACTTGTCCTGTAGAAGGTAGTCACTCCCAGGGATGCTTTGGTATTTCTGATGGAATTATGCCAATGTAATCTATTAATTTTATTATTTTTATGCAGTGGGGAAAGCATGAGGATTTATTGTTTGGGGTACAGCTATGATTACCACCTTCCTCCAACCTGAAAAAATAATAGGAGTAGTGAGTAATGCAGTAATTAAAATTCTTCAAAAGTATGGCTTCTTTTAATAGAAATTAAAATGTCATGCTATTCTTTAAAGTTATTTAAATTTTTAAAG